GGTGCTGCAGGACGAGCTGGACCAGACGCTGGACGAGTTCAAGGCGCAGTTCGGGGACAAGCCGAGCGAGGGGCGCCCGCGGCGCACGGACCTCACGGTGCTCGTGGCGCACAACGACGACCCCACGGACCAGATGTTCGTGTTCTTCCCCGGTGAGCGCCGCCGTCACCCGCGCCGCGGGCCCGGACGGGTGGCTTTGCCTTTTGAATGTCACCGTGCGACCCCCGTGCTCAGAAACCCCCTTTTTTTTGGTGTATTTCCAACTGTTTTGCTGGCAGGGAGGCTTTCAGAGGCCTTTTCCTGCCCTGCAAGATGGAAATCCTGATGTGGTAACCGCCACGTGAGGTTTTGTTGGTTTGCACATGCGTTATCCCATTGGATTTTATTGGGTGAAGCTTTCCATAGTTTGCTGTGTTTGACCCAGGGGTAACGTCTGCTCCTGCTGGGCTGGATGCAGAATATTGTGCAGAGGAGAAATACATCAAAGCAGAACAAGAATCTGCGCATAAGCTAAATGCAAAATAACAATTCTTAGAGTGTTTCTCACATGCATGTATTGTAACCCTGGGGCCAACTTGTTTCCTAGAGGAGCCCAAGGTTGGAATAAAGACGATCAAGATGTACTGCCAGAGGATGCAGGAGGAGAACATCACCAGAGCGCTGATCGTGGTGCAGCAAGGCATGACTCCCTCGGCAAAGCAGGTACCGCGCGCCCTAGGAAAAGCTGTTTGGGGGCTCAGAGGATGATTTTGAACCACGGGTGTTTGTTCCTCGCTGCTGCGTGGGTAGGATTGCCCTAGAGCAGTGCCCATGCTGCAGCCTGACGTGCTTTTCCTCTGCAGTCCCTGGTAGACATGGCTCCCAAGTACATCCTGGAGCAGTTCCTGCAGCAGGAGCTCCTGATCAACATCACGGAGCACGAGGTAGGCGGCGTTGGCAGCGGGGCAAGGGCAGCACTATCAGCTCCTGCTGAGCTGCAGGCTCAGCCAGCAGCCACTGTGGCTGGAGGGTCAGCCTGAGTGACACAGCAGCAGTTCCCGTTTCCCTTACCCACATGTTCCTCCTCCTGCTTCCGTGAGGGAATGGTTGGTTTCCCTGGTTTTATAATCTTGGAATCTCTGCCTTTTGTTTACAGTTGGTTCCAGAGCATGTGGTCATGACAAAGGAAGAAGTGACTGAGCTGCTAGCCCGATAGTATCCTTGGCTCGTTCCTCCCCTTCCTGGCTGTGATGCAGACTTGCTTTGGCCTGAAAATGAATCTGCTTGTGCATGTGGCAGCGTGGTGCTTTGTTCTAATGAAGTGCCCTTTCCCAGAACAAGTGGGCACCTGGGCCAGTTGCTTGTTCTCCTGCTAGAGCCTTTCCTTGACTGTCCTGTAGTAAACTGAGGGAGAACCAGCTGCCGAGGATACAGGCAGGGGATCCTGTTGCCAGGTACTTCGGAATAAAGCGAGGTCAGGTAAGTGTGACACAGCTGGCGATGGGCAGCAGCTCTCTGCAGGTGGAGCGAGGAGCTAGTAGGGGCTTTTGATGATATTTAGAACCCTTGGAGAAGGGAAGGGCATCTCCTTCACACGGGAAAGCTGTTAGGGTGCAGAGACTTGTGCAAGCTGGACTCCCAGCAAGGAAGGGTGATGCTGGCTGTTAAATCAGCTGATGAGGATCAGCAGATGTGACACCAGCCCCAGCCTTTCACTCCTCGTGACATTTCTGTGCTGCACTCCAGCAGCAGACGTGAAGCTTAGTGACAAAAGCCTCTGTGGCTGCAGAGGGCTGTGGCGTGACAACTGTCTGGGTCTGTGTGTGTGTCTGGTGGGGAAGCCCTGCTGGGGAAACTTGCCCCTGGCTTCCCTCGCTCACGGGTTGCTTTTCTTGGGCCCCTAGGTAGTGAAGATCATACGGCCCAGTGAGACCGCCGGCCGCTACATCACCTACAGACTGGTGCAGTAACGAGGAGCCCTCAGGTGAGGCTGAGCCCTGGGTGCGCTTGGCAGGGCTGGAAAGAGGGATGTGGAGCTGCTGGAGAGAGTCCAGCGCAGGGCTACGAGGATGATCAGGGGCCTGGAACATCTGCCCTATGAGGAGAGGCTGAGGGAGCTGGGCCTGTTCAGCTGGAGAAGAGAAGGCTGAGAGGGGACCTGAGCAGTGTCTAGAAGTACCTCAAGGGAGGCAGTGAGGAGGATGGTGCTGGTCTCTTTTCAGTGGTGGCCACTGATAGGACTAGAGGAAATGGCCGGAAACTGAAACACCAAAAATTCCACAGGAACTTAAGGAAAAATTTCTTGACAGTGAGGGTGACGGAGCGCTGGAACAGGCTGCCCAGAGAGGTTGTGGAGTCTCCTTCTCTGGAGATCTTCAAACCCGCTTGGACGCAGCCCTGTGCCACGTGCTCTAGGTGACCCTGCGTGTGCAGGGGGTTGGACTGGATGATCTCTAGAGGTCCCTTCCAACCTTCAGCATTCTGGGATTCTATGAGGGAGGTGCTGGGGTCTCCAGGGTTGCCTTGCAGGAGAGCAGCTGTAAATGCTTTGTGCAAAGGGCTGACCTGGTCAGGCCGTATCCCCAGAGCGTGGCGGTGTCGCCCACGGGCGCTCCGCACCCGGCTCCGCGGTGCCCGGGGCACCCGCTGCAGCTTGGCCTTGCCTGCCAGCCCGGCGAGGCGTGAGGCAGTTCACATCCCAAATTCTCTTTCTTCCAGGTGTGGAGGAGAATTGTGTCATCTCCGGATCCTCCCATGCGTCACCCATTTACAGGCGCTCTACGATACCTGCCTTTTTCTAAAAATGACTGAGAAAATTCTGCACTGCCTCTCTACGTTCATGTTATATGGCCTGTAGCTCCCCATTCTCCAGTGTAGATTTTGTTGCAACTCTCTTCCTATGAGGACTAGTGCCATGAAGCTAAAATGAAGCAACTGAAGTGTGCAGAGAGGAAATGAGTGGAAAGAAGGCCTTTGCTTTCCTGTTTTACAGGACTTTATTTTTAATAAAGGTTTGTACTGTTGCTGTTCCTCACTATTATTCTATTTCTCAGTCTTTCTGTGCACCAAAGTCTCTTGAAATTTGTGGGTTCCCCTTATTCTTCCTTCTGAGTATTTTGCTGCCGAAGGTTCCGGACTGAGCCCCAGAGCTCATCCGTTTAACTTTGATCCAGTTTCCTGGGCAGTTGAGACTTACCTTGTTGCTCTGATCTCCTGTAACCTCTCTGACCCTTATTTTGATACCTTGAGACTCAGATACCAGAGCGGAAAGTTGTTTATCCCCTTCCATACATCGTGAGCAGTTTCACTTCCCTTGAGTTTTTAAACTTCAGAGCTTTAGTAGCAAGCAAACAAAGTACTTCCCTCTAGTGCTTGGCCTCCTGCCACCATGGGTTTGAGTCCGGAAAATCCTGGTCTCCGGGGCAGACACGGGTTTGAACACACTGATTTTATTCTTGCAAGCATGCAAATTTGAACAGAACATGAAGCAGAGCTTCGTGCAGCGGTACAGATATGTCACAGCAAACCTGGCTCCCTGCCTCCGTGCCGAGTTTCTGTACAAACAGGGGTGCCTGTTCCCGGGGAAGCTCAAGCTTTTGCAATTCCCTGACTTCAAGGGCGTTTCCCTTCCCTCGCTCACGCTCGCCGTCATCGTCCTTGCAAACACACGTGGTGCCACCAGTGGTGGTGGCTCTGCAGCAACAGAGGGGAGTTCCTCTGCTGTCGAAAGGGCCTGCTGGAAAATCCAACCATCCTTGGGGAGAAATGTCTCACGAGTCTTTCTAGCTCTTCTTTGGCTCAGTTCTGAGTTACTTCACTGCTTAGTCACCTTCTGTTCCATGTACCTTTTAACTATTGCATTGAGACGCACTTAAAGGTCATTTTGAGAACTGTGGCAGTTGTAAAGCCCAGGCTATCACTGCTCTTGTGAAGATTTGATACTCGTCAGCACTGACTCGAGCGTCTACTCAATGACCCAAGTCCACAGTAATGAGATGCCTGCAACCTACACATGCCACCCGCTGTCTTGTAGCTGAAATGTCCCTCCAGCTTCTCCCATTTGGCTTCCTGGAGCCGCCTGGAATTTTGTCTCTGCCTTTTTTTCCTCCCTATCCACTGTTTTTTTGGAAAGCTTTTTAAGACTTGCAATGATCAGGCCTGGTGTGGGTGGAGATGGTGAGAGGCTGTTTGGTGTCCAGCCTTTCACTAAAGGAGGGCCTGGCTAATTCAATTAAAAAACCAGCTTTGGATCTGCAATTCTATAGGAGCTGTTCTGTGGGCTACTAGCCGCTTGTGTGTGCTGGCCCTTGTGCATCTAACTCGGGTTCTCTTGGATTTTATTCATATCTGCCCTGCTGGGTTGAGTCTCGGGCCGCTCAACAACGGCAATAGGAGCAAAGGCCAAAGGTACCAGCAGGGTAGAAAGAGGAAACGGCTTTTGGCTCTTTTGAGCTTGGTATCTATTTTTCCTCTCTGTTTCAGTGCAGAAAAGTGTCATAGCTTTGAAAAAAATATTTTGGCTGGTCATGTTTGATCCTTTAACTTCCTTTGCCAGCAGAGGTAGTGGATGTGTTAAAGGGTCATCTCTTTCACAAACAAAACCCGAAGTGGAAAACAAACCAGAAAACGAAAATCCCGCCCTCCGCCTGCTCCCAGCTCCTTGATTCAGACAGTGACTGTCCTGCATCCTGCAGGGAAAGCGTCTTCCTGGCACCTGGGCAGAGAGCAGGTTCCCTCCCAGGGAGGGCAGGGGACTAGTTCTGTGTTTGTTACTTCTCCCTGCTGTTGCATTTGGTGGCATAATGTCTATTTAGGGTCAAAAGTATTCCCTGAGAGGTCATGTCATGCTCAAGACTATGCACTAGTAAAATCCGTCCCTGGAGCTTGTTTACAGCCTCTTTGCATGGTCCTGCCGAGTAAAAACAAATGCCCATAAATACAAGCAGCGCTGCAAGGCTGGCAGCGAAGGCAGGAGGCGCCGGCCCTGCGGTGCTTAGGAGGGCCGAGGTTCTCGCAGTGAATTCGCAGCTGGGCTTTGGGGGCCGGCTACAGTCAGTCACGAGTGACCAAGGTACCTCCCGGGCCTCGGGAAACAGCGCGGCCCTGGCCCGAAAGCCATTGGCACGTCGGGGCGCGAGGCTACTCCGCAAGCCGCGCTCCTCTGGCAAGACCTTCCCTGGGCCGCGCCGCGTTGTTGGACTGGTTCGTGTTGCCGTCCGTGTGCGCGGCGCAGCGGCCGCTTTCGGGATATTCTTCCAGGTCGCTCTGCTCCTCTCCTGCGGGGCTGAGGCAGCGGGGAGCCGAGTACTCCGCATCCGACTGGCCCGTGCTGCAGGTTCGGCTGCGCTGTCCCTCGCTGCCGTCATCGCAGAACTGAGTTTCGTCGGTGCTCGTCTCGCTCCCCTGTTTTCTGAGCTGGCTCCTCTCCGCCGTAGCCAGCAGCTCCCCGCTGTCTTCCAGCTCGGAGTCGGAATCAACGGAGCGGTCGCCAGGCTCTGCGAGGCACACGGGGCCCTGCGTTACTCTCTGACCCTGCACAGAGGCTTTGGCAAAAGCTTCGTTCAGGAAACTCTCCGTAGCCAGGACAGGGGAAGGGCCCTGGCTAGTGCCAGGGGTGGCCCCAGAGGCTCTGTCCTGGATTTTGGCAGATTGGGCAATTCTTTTTCTTTTTAAAATGTAAATGAAACTGCCCTGGTATGAACCTCTCCCCTTCGGCCGCATTCACCAAAGGAAACGCAAGAATTAAAGCAGTGGCCTGCGAACTAAGAGGAGGCCTCCGGCAGTCACGCAGCAAGTTGGGGCTGTGTTCCTGGATCCCCCGCGCTGGAAGGGAGCAGCTGGGAGCCCCTCACTCACCTCCGTACGAGTCCGCGCCGTAATCCAGGCCCTCCTTCTCCGCGGGTGCATCCAGGTAGGCAGCGCTGGCGTGGGGGGCTGCAGCCTGGGGGTCTGTGTCCTCCTGGAGGAGAGAGGGGATCCAAGGGTGAGGGCTGCTGTTTTTCCCTAATTCCTGCCTACGGGGAGAGGGTGCTGTCAGGTGAACTAAAAAGATCGTCGCTATTTTGAAATGCAAAGGTACAGGCTCCAAAATGGAGTAATGCAAACACCACCCAGCATTCTTGTGGAGAGCTGTTACACAAGTGTTTACGTCCACTTCCTTAGAGGACAAGTCCTCGGAAAGGCCGTGACTTGCTCAAGACTTCAAGCCCAAACAGCCCCTGCCCAGGCTCTGCCCTTGGCCTCGCGCCTCCCCGGGTGTCTCCTACCGCGGTGGAGCTGCCGGCCGCGGCGCCGCGTTTGCCGGAATCCACCAGCAGCGCCGCGTCCTTGTTCTCGAAGATGGTCGAGTAGAAGATGATGAGCGCCTCGATGATGCGGGCTTGGTGGGGATAGTCCACCAGCGAGGACAAGGAGATTGTGGCGTCTGTGGGTCTGGGGCGCATGAGTGTTGGCCCAAAAACGATGCCCAGGTTGCTCGAGGTCATCTTGTTGTCCTGTTCCACTTCCACAATCCTGGAGAGGAGGAAGAGCACCCTATGAGGGTGAGCGGGCTGGGAGAGCCGCGGAGAGGAGGGACGGGGAGCGCGAGAGCTCATCCAGACACGAGTAAGTGCTGGACTGGCTGCACAGAAATGCCCTTTCCTGGTGCAGATGCTGCTTTTTCGAGCAGCAGAGAAGTAGCTGTAGCCACTGAGCTGCTTTTCTGCTTCTAAGAAGGGCTGAGCTGTCCCCAATGTCCCCACGGTCTGTGCTTGACCCCCTTCCTCCCATTTTAGGGGAGAAGGGAAGGAGCCGCAGCCCTGGTCATGGGCTGCCCGTTCTCACCTCCTCAGGTGCTGCAGGAGGTACTGGAGCGTGGCCATGTTCTCCCAGGGCAGCTCCTTGAGCAGCTCCTTCAGCTTCATCACCAGCGTCACAACCACCTTGTCGGTGTCGGCCCCCCTGTCCAGCAGCTCGGGGCCCCCCTTGCCGCTCCTGCCCTTGGCCTCGCCGCCCTGCAGACTCTCCTTGGCCAGGCCCACCAGCTCGTTGTACATGCGGAAGGGCATGAGGGGCTCGGGCAGCTGCAGGAAGGAAGACGGGAGAGGAGGTGAATCCAGGAGCCCCCCGCGCCGGAGGCACCACGGAGCTGATGTTTATTCGTCCTCCAGAAGCCAGTAAGTGCATCCTCATTTGTCACAGCCAACAAGGACCTGTGAGGCTGGAGCAAAAAGGAGCATCTGACCAAGCCCTTGGTGCTCTCTGCTGGACACCAGCCCCCAGATAAAGGTCGAGGGGTTTTTTTCCCCTCTATAAAAGCCTTGGTCTGGGGCGGACACAGCAGCAGTTTTCCAGTAGATTGATTGGTAAGTGGTTAGAAATAAAGAGCTAATTGTTTCATGGGAGCAGAAGGCAAGATTAAATCAGCTTAGCTTGCAGCAGAGGTGCCTGAGGTTAGATGGTAAAGTCTGAGTCTAGAGGTTGAATAAAGCACCTGGAGCAGCATTAACCTGCTGGTAGATTTGCATCACCCAGACTGTTTTGAGAATGGCTTGAGCAGATGCTCTTTGGGGTAGGTTGTCCCTCACATGGGAGCAGTGGATTCTCCCTCTTACAGAGTGACTTTAAATGGGATAATCAGAGTGTTTAGCTAGAGACTGGATCATGGTTCAGGACCAGCTCACTCCACTTCCACTCTGCTTTCCTTCTCTGGAGAAGACACAGGGATATCTCAGAATACTCCTTGCCCTCTCTCTGTGCCAGGAACCTATGGAAAAGCCTCCAAACTTGAGCCAGATTCCCAAGTTAACGCAGCAGGAAGCCTCCACGGAGCTACAGCTCTTCTGCCAGGCCTTGCAGAAACGCAGCACTAAAGGGTTAAGTGGTAGGAGTGCAAAAGAGAAGTTCCTTCCTCCCCTTCTGCCTTGTGGTGGCTTCTTTGAGGATGTGGGTCACAATTTACATCACAGGTTTCACATGCAGGAGTTATTACTGAATAAAGAGGTGTTTTGGTACAAAACTGCCTTGAGCACCAAGATAACGACGACAGGCTGGGCACGCCGCACATCAGGCGTTAGAGGGAAAGCGCTGGCCGGGGAGAAGTGAATTCAGCCCCTCTGTACCGTGCGGAGTGACATTCATCACTCCACTTCCCTTTTGCAGGCCCGGTTCTGCAATCGCACCGGGGAGGACTCCTGGGCGTTCATGTTCCTGCGGGCAAGAGCTCTGCCGCTCCAGCAGCGGAGGCACCGTGCAAAGCCCCGTCACGTGCGACCTGTGCATAGGTTGAACGCATGAAAAACAGCAAGTCCCTCGGAGAGGAGAGAGTTTCCGCTCCCGTGATTCACCCTCTGCTTGGAGGGGCCTCTCACCAAGGGCCACAGCTGCGTAGCAGACTGAGGGGCAGCCCAGAATTGCTCCTGTCGGGGTGTCCCAGCAAAGGCAGGTTTATTTTTGAAGCAGCTCTCCTCTCCTTGCCCTTTGGCAAAAGGTACCACCAGCCCCTTACCTGTCTCAGATAGAGCTTCAGGACATTGCTGATATCATGAGGGGAGGCCTGCGATAACTCCACCAGCTCCTTCCCGTTCTCAAATGCCTGGCAAAGCTTTTCCACACGGGTCTTTACGCCATTAACTCGATAGATGCCCTATAAAAGAGAAGGAGATGGAGCTGAAGTGCAGACAGATATTTGTCTTCAGGTTTGCCCAAGACAGTGAGCTGCTAGTTCCCATCCTTTCATTTTGGAATTGGAAATCCCTCTCAGAAGCAATTCTGGGACAGCTGTTTCAGCTCAGATATTGCCATCATTCCTGTTTTGGAGGCAGGAAAGAGAGGGAGATAAGACAAGTGAGTTTCCAAGGTCAGAGTTCGTTAGTATCAGCCTTCCTGACTCCCTACCTCCTAGTAACCTCAGAAATGCTTGTGTTTTTATTCCAGGACAGGAGAAGCAGCTGAGCCCAGCAGAAGGGTAGGGAAGGGAGGATGCTTCACCTTGGTTTTCAGTGCCCGCTTCTCGATCTCGGAGATGCACTTCTTGATGATAAAGGGAATTCCATCCGAGCTGCTCTGAGAAGCCTTTGTGAAGTCTTGCCCAAAAAGCTGCAGCTTCCCTTGAAGTTTCTTGTGCCCGCACTGGATGGCCAAAGTTTCCAGACACTTCTTGTGGCAGGCGAGGTAGCACTGGGAGAAAAAACCAAAAGGAATATGGTTGGAAAAGGCAACCAGAATGTGGATGAGGCATGAGAATGGGGGGGGGACTGAAGAAACTGGTGCATCGTGGAGTTGGTGCAGATCATGGGACATATCCTCCACCCATTCCACCAAGCTTGCTTCCTCCAGCTTTACCTCCTCGCATTCTGCTCCCTGGAAGTAAACGTAGCTATTGCATTCCCGACATTTGGAAGGGGCACGGAGCTTCCTCAGCCGGTGAGTCTGGGCAGCCTTGGATAAGCCAACGTTTCGGAACGGTCCTGTTGGAACATTCATTTCTGGGGTGATCCCGTTGATGCCTGCGAGCAGAACAAGAAGAAATTCGTTCCACGTCTTGAGCAAGGCTTGAGCTCCCGGCTCGCTTCCCGCTTCCGTACGTACTCTGCTCAAAGGAGGCGGCGTTCTCGTCCTTCTCTTCCAGCTCCTCGCTGGAGGACATGGTGCCGTTGGAGGACAATCGCTGGAGCTTGAATTCACCTGACAAGACAAGAACCGCGAGCAAGGGTCATCCCTGGCAAAGGTGTTTTCCTTCCAAGGGGTTTTCATGTGTTCGACTGATTAACACAGCGAATAGTCTTGTGCCTGGCATTGCTGGGGCGACTATTTCTAAAGAAAAGAGAAGTTTTCTCTGGGCTAGCAGGGGCTGTACATCTCCCTGTGATGCTTTACAGCAGGGCAGGTTGCAGTTATTGTAGCTGCGACAGTTCAGTGCTCCCACATCCCAAGATGTGGGATCAAGATTCACACCACAAAGGTTTATTTTAAGACAGATAAAAAAGAAGCAGCAGCTCCCCCACCACCTGTATTTGAATCCAGGCTGCTGTCCCCCTCGGTGATGGTGGTCGGCCAAGATTTATGAACCTGATGTCCTCTCCCACCTGCAGGAGAAAACACAGGGTCCTTTCACTACTGTTTCCTGGACTCAGGATGGTGACAGAGCTCATGCGGTTGCAATATTTCAGTAGTGCATCCAGCAAGGGAAGGAATCATAGAATTGTTAAGGTTGGAAGAGACTTCTAGAGATCATCTAGAAGAGATGGGAAGATGGAGGATGACTTGTTAAGTAACAGCAGTCAGCAAAAAAGAGATATCTAAGCCTGTATCCTCAGAAAATTCAGTTTAGTTTACAAGGCTTCCTCTTCCAGCCTGTTCTATAGCTCCAAGTAGCAGTACTGGCCCCTGGTTTCCCTCCCAAGGCTCTCCTTGTTTCATTCCAGCCTGGAATGAGTGGGGTTGGGAAGGCAATGGGCAGTGCCCTGCTCCAGGCTCACCTCTCCGGTCAGCTCCGCTCTGCGGCTCCTTGCCCCTGGCCCCTGCGTCGGAGATGTTCCCGTCTTTGGGAAGTCCAGCTCCGTCAGAGCTGGCGTTTGTGGTAAAGTCATTGGCATTGAAGCTGCCTTTCCGAGTCCGAACAAAGGGGGACCTGGTGGGCAGAAAGAAGGAGAAAGAGGGATGTCAAAGGGGATGGAAATCAGAGACATTTGAAAATCTTATTCACAGCTGCTGTCTACCTGGCTTGGGGTTTACAGCCCTCTGTTAAATACCAGGTAGCCTGACTCGCCCACCAGCTCCTTCAGTGCCAGCTGGCCCTGCTGCTCTGGAGTGAAGAGCTATTCCTGCAGCAGGAGGATGTTCCCATTCCCACTGCCATGTGCAAGGCAGGAGCCCTGGCTTTCCAGGAGACTTCCCAGCAGGTCCAGCCCCCATTTCCTCACCGGAGCCTAGAGGAGCGCAGTGGCCGCCCAGGGCAATGCCAGCAGCAATGGGGAAGATAAACCAGACCCTTCTGTGACCCCCTGCCCTCCCGCCTTTCCTACCAGGCGTTGTGGGACACGTAGGGCTCGAAGTCGTACTGGATGTCGGGCTCGTCGCCCCGCTGCAGCTGCCTCACGTGCGACGCGTACTGCTGCCCCGGGTCGTAGAGCTTGCTGCTTTCGCACAGCGTCTGGAAGTAGACGGGCAGCGGAGCCGTCTGCATGTGCATGATCTGGTAGAAGGAGATCGTGGCCTGAAAGCAACAGAAAGGACCAGGCGTGAGCCCTGTGAGGACACACGGAAACCAGGACCCCAAAGCGGCACTTGGAGCGCAGCTTCGGGCTTGGCTTCCCAGAGCCCAAGGTGGAACGAGCTGTGCGTGAGGCCACATGGACCACGGCAGATGCAGGAGCTGCCAGGCCGGGTGCTGGGAGGCAGCTCCTGCATCTCCTGAGCGCGTGGAGCACGAGACACCGGCTCAGCCGCCCTCCGGGATGCCCGAATCCAGCCCCACGCACCGTTTTGATGATCTGGTCGCTCTGCTTGATCACTTCGTGGATCTGCCGCAGGGCGTTCACCTTGGTGTCCTCCAGCTCCTGCTTCTGGGTGTTGGCATCCGCGATGCAGGTGCGATACGTGGCCATCGCCTCATCTGCCTGGGAGAGGAGGCGAACAGGACATGGAAACAGTGCGGAGGCAAGGAGAAAGCTCAGGCAGCACCCAGGGCTCTCCCGTTCCTACCTTGTTCTTGGCTTCCTCTTCCAGTCGCCTCTTCTTGTCCAGGGTTTTGGTGGTGATGCCGCTCGTGGGGTTCTGCTGCTCTTCCTCTGCTTTCACCGCCATGTACTTGGCCTTGTCGTGCTCCTCGCAGCGCTGCATGTAGATCTGCTTGGCCTTGCGCAGGTTGCTCTCTGCATCTTGCTGCCAACGAAAGCGGCGGCCCAAGGTGAGGATGGACCCTTGCAAGGGGATCAGCCTCTCCCACGTGCTGCCCCGAGGGATTCGCGGACCTGGCACAGGCTGAGCGTGAACAGGCTCCGCGTGTGGAAGGGGGTGCAAGGAGCTGTCTCTGTAATGTGGCTGTGTGTGGCTCAGGACAGCAGGTTTAGGTCTTTGGCAAGGACTCTTCCAGCTTCACCATTGCAGAAATAGTTAATATGGGAAGAGCTCTGGAGCTTTTATAGGGGAACCAGCGTGGGGTCCGGATGGGCAGAGCTCCCTTCCGTGAGCGAGCTGCTCTCACCCCAATGCAGGCAGAGGGGCTGCACGGCCGCATCCCCACCAGCCTCCACGCTGCAGCGAGGCCAGGAGGCCCTGGAAGAGGCTCTCGAGCTCCAGGCAACCAACACTTCTTTTGGAAGGGTGATAAACCAACATTATCCATGACAAATGTACAGTACAAATCTTCAGTGCAAGAGGGCTGTGGAGCTGCTGGAGAGAGTCCAGCGCAGGGCTACAAGGATGATCAGGGGCCTGGAACATCTGCCCTATGAGGAGAGGCTGAGGGAGCTGGGCCTGTTTGTGGGATTCCTGAAGGCCAGTGGTCATGCTGTGAGCAAGCCAGATAAGGGCAGAAGGGCACAAACTGAAGCACCAAAAGTTCCACAGGAACTTAAGGAAAATTTCTTCACAGTGAGGGTGCCAGAGCACTGGAACAGGCTGCCCAGAGAGGTTGTGGAGTCTCCTTCTCTGGAGATCTCCAAAACCCGCTTGGACGCAGTCCTGTGCCACGTGCTCTGGGTGACCCTGCGTGTGCAGGGGGTTGGACTAGATGAGCTCTAGAGGTCCCTGCCGACCTTCAGCATTCTGTGATTCATTCTATGATTCTATGAAATGTGACAGGGATACTCCAGGCTGGGGTTTGGGAGCACAAACCCAGTCCATGCTATGTCTCTGCTACGTACCAGCTTCCTCTGTGCCCGATGCCACTGCTCCTTGATCTCCTTCCTTCGCTTTTCGTGCTCCAGGCGTCTCACTGCTAGCGGCTGAAATGGGAGGGAGAAGGAAACAACACGGGGGGCTGAGCTAAGTGCTTGCTGCTCTGCCCTTTCCAAGAATTTTTGCACGGAAAAGCTTCCTGGGGTGGTTGTTATCATTCCAGATAGCACAACCGGGCTCCCTTACAGGGAGGGTTTGCGTCATGGACAAAAAAACTGCAGCCTGGAAAGTGCCAAATTCAGTTTCCCCTCAGATTGATCCAAGCAAGAGCCGCGCTCTGCAACAACAGGGCACTGATTCCTTCCCCTGGCACGTGGCTCTGGTGAGCAGCCGTCTTGCAGATCAGAAAAACTGCGTCTGTGCTCAGGGGGAAACATCCAGACACAGAGAGGCCC